GTATGACATTAAAATCATTTTGTCTTTCGCAGCCAGAGAAAAACACTGGGTTGGATAAAGTTTTTGTATCTCCTCTATAAATTTGGCCCTTTTTTCTTTTCTAGTTTGCAGCTCATCTTGTGAAGATGAAATATCCAAGAATCTGTATTTTAGATGGAGGCATTAACAAGATCAAGCCAACAGGCCTCCTCACTGTGCCATCCCCTCAAATATGAAGAACCCAGAGGGTGACTGCCAAAGGACGGAGTGGCAGCAGCGCCGACAGCACAGACCTCCCCGCCAAGCCACCCCGAGACAGATGGGGCATCCAGATTGCTGTATCTCCATGAACCTTTGTCTCGAGACATCTTTTTAAATCTCATAACTCAAATGTTTGGCTATCCAGGCAAGAAACTTGACTGTACATGTATTGCTGAAAGAATTTCTTAACAGTGAAATCTGATCATGTATTTTTACCACACTGCCACATAAAGCCTAAAGAATTCAGCTGACAGAGCAAATTTAGCATTATCAAGAAATCCCAGTTGCACTGAAAAAGCTGTCCTCCGTTGCGCTGAACAGGCAGTCCTAACAATGGGATTACATATATTTAAAAATGGAGACTGAACGTGGGCTGAAATCATCATCTTTCCGTGATAAAAATTGAAAAGCTCCTTATAATGCATTCCTTAGGATACATTCCTTCTAAATAAATGCTACATTTGGTAACTCACTTTACCCTGACAAGGGGCGTGTGTGTGTGTTTAGAAGGAACAGAACTTAGCTTATTGCAGAACATTATAATAGTTTATTCCCAGAAAAATGAAATTCAGAAACCATTTATATTAGATAGAATATTTGTTCGGCTCCTATAACAGATAATCCCAAGGAGTGACTTAAACAGATTTTCTAGATTCTTTATCAAGTAAAAGTTTGCATGGGCAGTCCAGGGCTGGGATATTGGTTCATAATCATTCAGCACTTGGCACTATTCTCGCATTGCTTTACGGCCCTCCATGTATTCTTCCCATCTCATGGATGAAACTAGCTGCTCAGCTGCTGCTATCACATCTGTAATCTAGAAAGAAGGGAAAAAGGAAGGAGGAAAGAAAGAGAAGGGAAAGGAAAAGTGGCAAGATCCGCTGCTTCCCTCTACAGGCCCAAGCAGAAGTTGTACACGCTACTTCTCCTCACATGGCCCGGACCAGAAGTTAGGCACATGGCCACACCTTGCTGTAAAAATAACTGGGATTATAGTCTTTGGCTATTTGGTCATCTCCCCAGCTAAAAAAAATCTTAAGACTTTATGGGAAGAAGAGACACATACTGAGGTATGGCAAGCAGCCTCTGCCACCTTAGTTGAAAAATTAAGCATTGGACTTCATTGAATCTGGCACATAACACAATTTTATATACCATGAAGAAAAAAATGTAACCAAATAAACTGATATGCCATCAATTATAAGGTGCATTCCCACTTCAGACATCTGAAAATATAAGTCTTATAATGATTGAAGTACAGTACATCTTTTAGCTGCCTTCAGTTTGTTTTAACTGAAAAATGTTCATTCAGATATAACTTATATTTTTTCCTAGTACTAAGACTCCTTACACAGAACTTTTCATTAAGAGCCTTACTTCCACTTTGTGGGTCATGGTTTTGTTGTTGGCTTTTGTTATTATTTCTTTGGGATTTTTTGCATTTTTTTTTAAAAAAGGTGAAACCAGAGTATTTTTTAATAGAGATATTTGACTTACCATAAAATTTACCCTCTTAAATTATACAATTCAGTAGTTTTTCATATATTCGCAGTTGTACAATCATCACTGCTATCTAAGTCCAGAATAATTTCATCACCCAAGAACAAAATCCTATACCTGTTAACAGACATTCCTTATTAAGCTTTCCATGATCTTTGAATTAATTTTTGTATGTAGAGTGAGGTAGGGGTCTGGTTTCATTCTTGCATGTGGGTATCCAGTTGTCCAAGGGCCCATGCTATTTCATTCAATTAAATATTTGGTTATTCAGATATGTTTTGAAGACCTACTATGTCTAAGACACTGATACAATTAATAGTTGCATCATTTTGTGATTCCTACACAGTTTACAAAGAAAAAATATTGACAAAGATTCCTCTAACATTGTTTGGGGGGCATAATCTACCTTGGTAAAAGAGATATTAAATCCAGCTGTGCTTGCAATTACTTTTCCTTCAGTCTTTGCAGAACCAATCCTATTGAGAGTGGTTTGAGTCTTAACATTGTCTTACTGAGAAAGCAGAGAAGGAAGGGCTGGAGTCGAATGAGGCGGTAGATAGTGGGAGATGATAAAGGCCTGGATGTCCGAGAAGAGCTGTGTAAGAAGACAACAGTAGCCAAACTCCAGAACATTTTTGCATTTGATCATTCCTAAAACTTGACACATTTATGCTCATTTTTAAAAAGTGGAAATTTTTTGAACATTCAAATTGTGATATGTAATATTCTCAATAGTAAAATAAGAAAGAGCATACCATCATGGCAGATTGATGCCAACAAAGTGGACCTCAACAACTGTTTGCTGAACTAGACCACTTAATCCATGATTTATAGCGGTCCTTTTCAATACATTATTGACTCCTACACTTGCACAGTCAGCAGTCCTTCTGGTCTCTGCCTGGAATGCCTTCACTTCCACCACCAGCTCCCACAAACACATACATGTATGCTCATTAATCCTTCAAATCCAGCAACAGTCACACTCTTCCTGGCTTCTCTGACTTCCCCATGCTGCATTAAGAGCCTCAAATCTGTCAGAGCATTCCCCAAATGCTTCTATCGATAGACTTATTACAGCATTTTGCAGTTATCTGTTCACATTTGGGTCCTCTGTGTGAACCTTATGAGCACCTTAAGGTCATGGGCCATAATTTATAATCTCTTGCTACTTTCAGCAACCCACTACATTAAAAAGGCTCAAATATACAAAATTTAGTTGAATCTGTGGATTTTAGAATCTTATGAATAGAGAAAAATTAAAGCAGCATGTAATAATTTTTTTCAACTGCCAAATTTATCTGGCACCTGATGGTATATAAACAAATTGAAATCTCAATTCACTGAAGGAAGCAAAGATCTCTTAATTTGCACCTCTTTCTAAGATTTGATAATTCTAGAAGTTGAAGCAGATCACTTCGAACCAAGTAAGCTAAGCTGGTTTCGTACAAAATACAGAAATGCTAGGGTCAAAAGAATATTAAAAATGTCTAATACTAACCAAGGTTGAAAAAAGGAAATTCCCTGATATCAGAAATGAAGAGGAACTAGAAGGGAAAGCTATTAGACCCATGGAATATCAGACTGTTAATATAGACCATACACACACATAGGGATGGAAGACAGAAATGGAGGCCTTCTGGGAGGCAGGTCTATTAAAACCTCTGTGAGAAGTGTCAATCTCATCTCCATAAAATGTCCAGAAATAACTTTCCACCAAATCAGGGAAGCTGTGGAAGAGATTGTCTCCAGCTTGGTTATTCCTGGTGAAGGAGGGGAACTCTGTAGATGCATGGATGTGTTCGATGAAAAGGCTTGGGTAAGTCTCCATTTAACACAGGCTTTATGGCACTTAAAAAAGAGAACAATGAAAAATATAAAATTTTTAGAAAGCATAAATGGTGCTGGACCTTTGTTCAACTCCTCTGTTTTTTTCCTCCAAATAGTTAACCCCCCCCAAAAAAAAACTTCTTTGAAGATTAACATCAAAATATTGTACAGCACTTCAAAGGAGTTTTATGCAGCAGTCTCATTTGGTGACATCTGCTGTAAGGATAAGGCCTGTGCAGTGGTCTATAATCCCAACACTTTGGAGACTGAGGCAGGAGAATCACTTGAGGCCAAGATTTTAAGACTAGACTGGGCAGCAAAGCAAGACCCTGTGTCTAAAAAAAAAAAGTTAAAAAAAGTTAAAAAAAGTAAAATTCAGCCAGGTGTGCATTTGAGTCTCAGGCTCTCAAAGGGCCTGAGAGGATCACTTGAGCCTAGGAGGTCAAGGTTATAGTGAACTAGGATAAGATCACTGCACTCCTGAGCAACAGAGCAAGAGCCTGTCGTTTGAAAAAAGAAGGGAAAGAAGACTGCTGCTGTGACTGTCATAGGCTGGTGGATACGCATTCTGTCATCCTTAGTAGTGATCCCAGTGTTATACATGCTGGCACTAAATGTACCTTTTATTAACCAAATAATGAATTTTTATTGATAAACATTCAGCTGAAGGCTGGAAGAAGCAAAATCATAATATTTATGATCAATTTTAATTTGGGTATTCAATGTTGAGACCAAATACCCTTCACAACTACCAACTTATATTTTAAGTGGAAAAGTAGTGGTAAAGAAATCTAGTTGATGAGAAGGGAGGGGGGATGGTTCCATAGAGGGAGGGTTAATGGTGGGACCACACCTATGGAGCATATTGCAAGGGTACAAGTCAAATCTGTCAAGTATTGAACACAAATGTCTTAATACTGTGATTAAGTAAATGAGGTGAAAGCTATGTTAATTAGTAGGAGGTAAGTACTCCACTTTGTACAAATAGTCAACTCATTGAATCCCACAAATGCATAAATGTATTCATGATCTATATATATATATATGACTTAATAAAAAAAAAAGAAATCTAGTACGCATTCTAAATATACTGTAACAAAGTTAAACTGTGGTTTTAAAGTCCTTTGTATTTATATCTTTTCTGAGTAATTTTCTTAATGTTTTAGAAAAGGTGCTTGTCACGGGAAGACTAAGCTTGGATCTTAGCAAATTGTGGTTCTATAGATAGAGTGTAATACGCACAGCTCCTACTCTGACTTAAGGACTGATGTCTCCTGGTGGATTGCCATTCTTTAACAGCCTCGCATTCCTTTCTGAAAGCCTATTTTTAGTTTGCATTGTCTGCAGCGTTTCAGTAATACCGTTCTGTTCCAGTGCACGGATGGATACCAAAGCACTGTATCACTAACACTCCTGGATATTAATCCTTTGGGTGGGTGGTGAGGGTTAAAACACTGTCCTGTCTTGGCTTAAAACTAATCTTGGAGCTATAACAAATGCCTTTAGCGCCTTAGATCAGATTCTAAATATTGTTTCCTGTCACACTCAAAAGGGTCAACTTTTTAAAGTATTACCGTCTTTATATACAGATGTGACTTTTTAAAAACAAGTACATGCCCTACCACTCTTTTAAAAGACTATAATAGTGTGATTACTAGCATTAAAACCTGAGATAATCCACTCAAAGGATTAACTCCAAAAACCTATTCTTATTCTAGTATTAATTTTCCTCAATTATATTAGAATACTTGTCCATCATATAAGGTAGAATAATGTGTGTTAAGTCCTGTATTGTGCTGGAACTGGCTCCTAGTGGTTTGAAGAAATGAATGTGCCCATCTCTTCTCAACAACATGGTCAGTGATCCCACATTGGTAATTTAAAATCAGCAGTACTGGGACTGTTTCACCATAGAAATAGGCAATCATTACAAATAATGGCTTTATTTTTTAATTTTTACTTTTGAGACTCAGTCAATAACACATAATAGCACACCACTGATTTTAACCATTCCATGGTCATTATATGTATCTAGAGTTATCAGTGTAACTCGAAGGTAAAAGGAATTTTATTTTATTTCAGAATATTACAGGGGTACAA